GTAAGTGGTATGTGATCTATTCTCAGATGTGATTCTCCCCTTCCATGCAGGCTGTCACTCCTGGGACTCACAGTCATGATTCAGGGCACTTAGCAAATTCTGTTAGTAATTTTAATAGAATCTTTCTCTGTGGTACATGCTTACATAGGTTAGACAATTGTACACAAGTTTGAGGTCCAGGTGTATTATTTTACTTTATTTTTCTCCTATTAAGCAAATATAATACCTCTAACCACAGTCTTTCTCTACTCTGGTCCAATTTGGCCATTTTATCTGTATTAATCCACTATGCCCCATTTTGTTGTTCACAACTCATCTTGTCACTTGAATTCTGCATCATGAACCTCTAGGTACCCCACAGGTACCTTCTGGTCCAAATCCCCCAGCTCAGTATAAAAAATCACCCTCTACCAATGCCACCCTGCTCATGTCAGGACTACCAAAAGTGACCATGTAATCCAAGTGAAAATACTGTGTTGGTGGTTCCAGCCAAAGGACCAACAAAATGACCACAAGTCAATGGAATAAGTCAGTGCTGTATGGAAATAATACTCATCCTAAGATATAATTCATATCATAATATATGTAAAACATTTAAGCAAATAAAATTTATATGGGAGTACCCCCCCCAACCTTATCTATATTTTTACTTTCTAAACTTCATTTACCTGTGGTCAGTTGAAATCTGACAATATTATCTGTAAAATCCAAGGTAATTCATAAGGTTTAAATTGTAACATGATTGAATCTCTTCTGTCTCACCTGGAACATGAATCATCCCTTTGTCCAGTGTATCCCTATTGTATACCTTATCAATCCATTAGTTACTCAGTAACTATCTCAGTTATCAGATTAACAGTCACAGTGAAGCAACACTTGGATTCAATTTACTCTTATTTTACTTTATAATGGCCATAAAAGTAGAAAAGCAGTGGTGGTAGAAATTCAGGTATGTCAAAGGAAGCTATATTTAAATTCTCCCTTAAGTGCAAAGTGAAAGTGTGTATATATTGGGAGAGGGAGTATATGTTAGGTTGATAGGATCTGTGGTTTCAAGAATTCACTAATGCCTTGGGGATAAACTGGAGAGCTTTGTATACTAATGCTCCATTGTATACTAATGGATAAATCATACTGTTTTTTAAAGCAATAATAAACTGCCCAGATTAAATTACAGCATACTCAGTTCTTGCAGAAGTTCATTGTAATGAGCACTCTCCTTGGGTTGAATGTCCACCCTTGTTAGTCCCAACTAGCCCACCAAGCACAGAGTAAGCTTTCAACAATTATCTATTGAGTGGATAATTATGTGACTGGAACAATCATTGCAGACAGATAAACTGGAGTTACCAGGCCTCCCATCCCACCCCATGTCACTGTCATATCGTACTTTACATGCATATAATTGCCATTTGAATTGCCTTCAAGGATCCAAGAGAACCCAAGCTGCTTCAGATTCCGAGGAGTTTTTCAAAAGCTTAGTAAATATTTCCTAACTCAAAACCACATAGGCTTAGTTTGTTCAGTTTACTACTTTAGAACAGTTGCTTTCCATAGTGAGACACTCAGCAGTTGTAAGTGAGAAATAGGGTCTGAGTGGAAAATATTTGTAAAGGGAACAAAAGCAAGGGTGTCATGTTTGCCAGTGACATCTTGGGAATCAGTGGGTGTCAAAAGAGGGAAAGCAAAGGAGGCCTTATATTATTATATGCTTTTCTTTCAAGTGTGCACATAACTCACCCTCCAAGCAGGCCAACCTCTTTGAGGAGGAGCATTTCCCTGGCAGAAATAATTACTCTATACTTATATCTGCAGGAGCTGTGGCCCAACAGTGAATAAGAGGTATAAGGCAATGAGGCAGAGCTGTTGGGAGAAACCAGTAGGCTTTGAGCAACTTACAAAAGGCTCAGTTTGTTCTACCTGGAGAGAGGAAAGTATGTTTTAAAATATCACATTTAATTAACACTTGAACGGGGAATGAAATGGCTCACACTGGTAATTCCAGGCAGCTTTTGTATGAAATAGACGAAGGGGAAAAAACCTGATTAGGCACTGGCCTTAAGTACAGTTTCCTTGGATTTCCTTTTTTGCTCTTTACCATATAATAACATGGCTTAAAATTAGTTCTGACAGCTAATCAGGATGAGTGGCTCTTTCTTTTCCTGGAGTGGTTAACAAGTACTGTGCATTGTGCCAACAGACCGTATTCCTGAATGGCTGCACGACGGAGAGGCCTGATTAGTTATTTCATTGCAGGCAGCTGTGTTCCTCCCTTTAGTTGACTCAGAGGGACCCTGTGGTACTGGAGTCTGTGATGTGTCCAAGGGCAGCCTGGGAATATCATCACCCAGCTCTCCTACTGAGGAGGCTGTACCTCCTCCTTCGTGGTCCGTTTGGGCACTTCCCAGCCATCTCCGATGCCTCCTCTTCATCTTCTTGTGGCACATGGGAAATCTGCAAGTGAAGATGGGGTGCTAAGCTCCATTTAGGCCGTTGAATGATGAAGTAGGAAGTAGCTGAAAACAGAAATGCAAGATCAAGTGATTTCCCTCTTTCAGAGTTTGGGACCCAGGAGGTCCCTCAGAGCAGGACAAGTATTTATGTGCAACAGGCGGGGGTGAGGAGAGGTCACGCAGATGGTGGGCAGGTGCTCCCTTCCCAGCGGGGATCCCATGCTTGGCTGAAGTGATTTGGTTTCCCTCACCAAGAGTTTTGCTTTCCTAGTTTGTTATACAGAAGAATGATGATTCCCCAAAGGGACATGACAGAAAGAAATGGAAGCAGAGAGCTTTAAGATTTCACAGATGAAAGCTCTACAAAAGCATACAGTGACCGCCCCTTTCCCCAGTTAAAAATAATAGTGACAGCAAGAGTGGCCAAAGGGGTGGTATCTGGGCAAAATTCAGCCCACAAAGATTTAAAAACCTGCCCAAGAGCTGGATCACATTCAAAATCTCAAGGATCCCTGAGCCCATGGTTCTCAACGTGATCTCCTCTGCGGAAAAGGGCAGGAGAAAGAGAGGGTTCTTGGCTTAAAGGGAACACAGGGCAAGTCCAGGCAAGAAATGTGGGCAGATGCCCCAGCAGGGAGGAGCCAGGGCTGAGGCAATGAGCTGGGGAGCCTGGTGGGGCCCCTACAGACTCTTGGCTGGGCTCCTAGAAGGCTCCCTCTTAAGTCTTATGAGAACAGTGGGCACTCACGTTCCCTGGGCCAATTCTGTTTAGCTCTAGGGAGGAAAGTAAGCCACAGAACAAGAGAGAGATTCCACTAACATGAAGACCCTGGCACTTCAGGGCTGTTTCATTATCCATGTAAGAGGGTCAAAGAAAAAAAGGGAAAACGAAGCCTTTGAAATCACTTTAGGAAGTGCACAAGCTATATTTCAGCTAGGTAGACATTTTCTTCTGTATTACGGCAAAACATACATACCATAAAGACATATTGTAGTCATTTAAAATGTATGTGTCAGTGGCATTAAATGTACCCACGACATTGTTCAACCATCACCACCACCACCTCATTCCAGAAAGTTTTCATCACCTAAATGGAAAACTGTACCCACTAAGAGTCTTTCTCAAATCCTGCTTCCCTCCAGCCTCTAAAAAGATTAATCTGATTTCCATTCCAGTGCACGTAGATACCCTATTTTGTTTGTCCATTTGTTTTTGTTCAAAGGACACTTGGGTTGTTTCTGCCTTTTGAATTCCACGAATAAAGCCATAGTGGACATTTGAGTACAAGTTTTCTTTTTTAAAATATGTTTTAACTCTGTTAGGTATATATCTAAGGGTAGGATTGCTGAGTCAAATGGTAATCTACACCAACTCATTAATAAATGACCAAACTGTTTTCCATAGGGTCTACCCTATTTTACTTTCTCTCCAGCAATGTATGACAGTTCCAAATTTTCCACATACGCACCAACACGCGCTGTTTTCTGGATTATTATTATTGCCATCCTACGAAGGTGTCTCGCTGTGGGTTTGTTTTGCTTCACCTCTGCAAATGACTATTGTTTTTGCTGACCATTTTTATGTCTTCTTTGGAAAAATGACTTTTCAAGTTCTTTGCCTATTTTGTCTTTTGGTGTTGAATTGCAAGAGCTTTTTATATATGTGCAATAGAAAGCCCTGAATGGAAGACGATATACAGATATTCTCTGTGATTTGGTGAGTCATCTATTTATTGTCTTGATTTTCCTGTTTTTAGTGAGAAGATAATACACAGAGCACTCGATTGCTATTGGAAAAACAGGATGATAACAGCCATAAAAGTTCTGAGCAAAGAGAAATGTCCTTAGATCATTTATTATTTTTTTCCCTGGTCTGGTAAAGACTTGATATTCCTTTGGCCTATTTTCTCTTGTCCTAAAGCATAAGTGTTTTTACCTCCATTTTACTGGTGGGTAAACTGAGGTACAGGTATGTTAATGAATGGCCAATGTCTTCCCCACTCTCCAAATGAAGGTCTGTGTAACCTAAAAGCCAGGTCTCTTCCAACTCTTCTGCAGATTTGCTCAGTTTTTGTTCAAGGGATTTGGGGGGACCTTCTTCACTATAGGAAAGGGTTTGGTTCTCTGGGTAAATGCATGTTCCAACCAGAGGGAGCTTTGCTTTGATTTCTTTTGTAATTTGGAGCTCTAGCATAGGATTTTAGTTAGGGGGAGGTGGCCGAGGATTCCAGTGTCAAAAAAAAAAAAGAGAAAGAAAGAAAAAAAAGAAAGAAAGAAAGAAAGAAAGAAAGAAAGAAAATGAAACAAACTTGGTTTTTCTATACAATTTTTAACTCATGCTGCTCCCGGGGAAGAAAGTCCCAAAGCTCTTGAAACCTCTTGTACAATGGACGTTTCATTACGGGGGAAACCAGTTCTACACTTCTCAGGAGACACCCGGTATTGTATTTGCACACACCCACGACCACAAGCGTGCACAAGCACATCACACTCTGGCACACCCGCCTTCCGTTCCCCAGTCCTGGATGGTCCAGGTCTGGAGGGAGTTGCCTCTGAACTACTCACAAGCAAAAGAAAAGAAACAAGAAAGAGACTCCTGCCAGTGACCACGCCCACGCTTCCCGGCAGTCTGCAGCCCTCATCAGTCAGGTATGCTGTCTGCTCACCTGTGCGGCCTCCTCAGCAGCCAAGAGGCTCTCCAAACCGCAGCCACCTTCCTGCACCACTAGCAAGATGACTTTCTACCAGACCTCGACGAAGACCTTAGCTCTTCACCATCCAGGGTCTGATGACGATGCTGGGGAGAGATTGCTCTGAGGAACCCCCAGCCACTGAGGCGAAGTCCCCAGAGAAATAGCTGGCAGGTGAGTGTCTCCCTGCCTGCTGGGAAGCACAGGTGGCTCTGGGACCAGCGGAAGGGGCACAAGGAGCTTCCCAGGGAGCACGGATTCCCCCAGACCCAGGGTGTCAGGATACCGCGACATGGGCCTGGAAATCCCCCTTGCCCTGGAAGTCGTGCCAGGTCCCTAGCGCTCTCCATTTTCCCTGTAGGAGACTGGGGCAGCCAAGGCAACTTCCAGGCTGAGACCGCAGGAGGAGGCAGGTTTTGGGATGATTTGCGAGGAGGTGCATCTTGGTTTTTCTACACATTTCTCCTGTGTACCATAAATGGTTGCCAGACGTCTGCTCAAATATGGTTCTCCAAGGAAGTCACATGAACAGTTGTAATGTCATTAACGGCTTTGGCCAAAGAGACAAACGGGTGCTAGGGAACCTTTCTCCTGGCCGGCTAGGTAGGAACCCGACAGCAGAAGGCTTTTTCACCAGGCTTTCACCAGTTCTTGCTTTTTTTTCTTCTCCCTTCCCCTAACTTAAACACTGCATCCATCTTTTGATCCCAAAGTCTTCCCTCTGTCTTGGGTATTTCTGTCACCTTCTGCACCAGTGTCAGCTGGGGCCATATGGGAACTACTGAGCAGAGAAGAGGTGAGTTTCCCAAGACCTCCCCCGTGACTTGCCTGGGCACTTCTTCACTAATCCTGCCTAAATTTTCCTGGATTTTCAAGTATTAAAGTAGTAGATGAGCCAGTCAATATGGGGGTGGTGCTTTCAGTAAGTCCCAGGTCTGATATGGCTGGCTGAGCAGCCTCAGCTGCTTAGTGACACCTGGGGAAGATCTAGGCCACAGCACTCCAAGGAGACACAGATCAAAGCCAGCACAGGTGTGTCCTCCTACCTGCAGCTGTGGGCCACACCCACCTGGCCCACCCAGATAAGTGTAGTCCTCAGGCCCCAGCCTCTCCAACAGGGCATGAGTCATCCCTGGGAAACTAGATGTCCTGAAGTTCAGAAAGTGCTTGTTTCCCGAGCTTTCTTCCCTTCAAAGGCTAGGAATCCAACTATAATTTATTTTCTTCCTTACAATCAGGAAAAATCTTCCCTATTTTCTGAGAAAGAATAAAACTCAGAGATTTGTAGTTCAGCCTGGTCTGCATAGTTCTCACACTTTGCAGGCCACAGTGCTTAGCCTTTGAGTGGCGTGTGATCCAGCCGGGACTGGCGAGTGGGTTGAAGGAGAGAAGTCTCCCCCCACCCTGCCACCCACGCACTACAGGCTAATGGGGAAATCACTGGCTGCTCTGTCTTGGGTTTGAGTCAAGGCTGTTGCCTTTTTGCTCCACCAATTACCCTTCTTTAGATATTCCAATCAGCGGGGGAAGAAAGTAACGGATAGGTACATGGGAAACGCTGAAGGTCATACTCGGAGTACAAGAGAAAGGATATGTGAGAGCCCCAAATGGAAGTGGCTGGCATGGGAGATGGGAAAGCAACAATGATACAGGAGAGGACCTGAATGGAAACCATCAGTGTTCTTATTTCTTGAGGAGTGACTTTCCATGAGACCTTCCTCTTGAGCCCAAAGAGCAAATCTTGGAGAACCTGGGTCAGAAATCCCATGGGGACACTGTTCCCTGAGGAGAAAGGAGATTTCAATGAGCAATAAACAGATCTGCACTACTACAGATGGAGAAACAAAGCCTTGTTTGTTCTGTTGTCTAGGCCTCTGGTGCCCCGCTACTGCCGAGACTTTGTGTCACAGGCTGTAGGCAGCATTTCAGAGTGACCACAGGGCACAACTGTACGCAGTGTGTTAGACATGCAAGATACGGGTAGTGGTAACTTGCTAGTGGCTTCACAGTTGGAAACATGCTGTTGTATTTGTACACGCCCACACTCACAAGCATACCCACACCCACACTCACAACTGTACCCACAACCATAACCACGTACCCCTTCCCTCCATTGTCCCACTTATTCCTGCCAACTGTGTGACAACGGCCTGGCTTCTCATACCAGTCACAGTGTAACAAAGTCTGGATTATTATGCCCAGTGCTGAAGTTGGTTTAGGGATCAGACTGTCTCAGTCCTCCCACCATTCTGGAGAGAAGAGCTCAGTCTGCTCTAGGATGCCCTGAATGGAGTACAGGGGAGAAATTTTACTACAAATACTGACTCTTGACCCCTACTCAGATAAACTAAAGCAGAATCTTGAGGAGTGGGGTCAAAACTCTTGTTTTTGAATGAGATTCTCGAGTGATTCTTATGCAGAATGACATTTGGTAACTAGTGCCTGAAAAATTGCAAATAATCTGGCTCTTTAGAAAAAGGAACATAAACAAAAACCAAATCCAGACCCAAGGCTTTGACTTCAGCCTTACCTCAGCAACTGTGGCCTAACTCTTTACCGTCATCCCCCAATAACCCAATTACAAGAAAAAGAAAGTCAAGAGGAATAATGAAATGTGAAACAACAAAATTCAAGAGATAAAATCTAAGTAATAAATGCTAGGATCCTGAAAATAGAATGCTCTCTCACTGTCCTCCATGACTCAAAAACACCCAACACATCATGACATATAAAACCACTGTGATTCAATGTGTAACCAGTGCTACTGATGTATATAAATACAGATCAAGTATCTTTACAAAAAATCTAAAATTAGATATTCTCCAGAATTTGAAATATTTTTAATGCTAACACAGCCCTCAAAAAGTTTTGGATTTCAGCTTTTTTGGATTATAAATACTCATCCAATTAAATCTGTGCAAATATCCTGAAAGATACATAGTCCCAAGGATTTTGTATAAGGCATACTCACTCTGATTCAGGTTAAATGATTCAGAGATTGAGAGCAGGAAAGCAAAGCAACATGAATCAGAATAACAAATGGATAGTGGGATTTGACCTCAACAAATAAAATCTATATTAAATTAACATGTGAATTGATCGTAACACCCATAAACATACACATGTAGACAACACAGCTCAAAATATTTTACTGATAAGGACATATGATTAAAATTTAGAGAAATGTTCTGTTTCATTCCTTTAGGACTTTGATAAATGAGATCAACTTGAGCACTTAAAAAGTTACAACTTGGTATTATTACACAGTCATGTATGAGCCATTTTTAGAAAAAATTTGTGACTTAACAAAAGACAATCCTCAAAGGAGTTTGTTTCTACAGGTGAAGTTGAGACTCTGGTGGTCAGTTAGGTAAGATGTTGAGATACAGAAGCTCTTATGATCTGGACCTTAAATGTCCCCTAAATCTCATGTGTGGAAAGCTTATTATTTGCCTGTGTTGCTTCTGGGAGGATGTAGAAACTGTAGGAAGTAGAGCCTAAAAGGAGGGGGTTAGGTCTCTTGGTGTGCACTTAAAGGGCATATTGGGACCCAACCTACCATGATGTCTCCTACCATGGGCCTAAGTAACCATGGACTGAAGTCTCTGTAACCAAGAGCCAAAATAAATCTTTCTTTCTTTTAACATTGATTATTTCAAATATTTTGTCACAGTGCCAGAAAGCTGACTAATAGAGATGTCTTTTCCAAGAAAATGGTATCAGATAAGAAACTTATAGTGAACCTTAACCACACTTTTGGCTGGGGTCAGGAGTTGAAGGCAATCATAATAGTTCAATGGAGCTGCCAGTGGGCCTTTCAGTTTCTAATGAGATTCAAAATGTAATCATATAGGTTACCATCAGGTTTTACAAGTACTTGAGGATGAGTGTACAGTATGGTTTTCTACATTTATGCTTTTAATGAGATTTTACACAGACTGCTTCAGTTAATGAGATCAAACTTCTGGCCATTATCAGTTCATTATTATTAAAGAAGAAACACTTATTTGTGTTTTTGTCAGGAAGGAAAACTCAGTTCTTTTTTTTATTTTTTAGTACTGAGGATTAAACCCAGGGTATTTATACTAAGCCACCTTCCCAGGCTTTTTATGTTTATTTTTAAGTTTTTGAGACAGGGTCTTGCTGTGTAGTCCAGGCTGGACTCGAACTTGCTATCCTTCGTCTCAGCCTTTCAGAGTGCTGGGATGGCTGGTAAGCACCCCTACACCTGACTAGTTCTCTGCCTTTGTGTTTCTCCCCTTTCCAGCTATAGCTGCAACATGTCTAGTTTTCTCTTCCAAACATGCCAAACACATTTTATAAAGGCCTGCAACCTATGGTGACCAGCTGGCCCAGTTTGCCTGGAATAGTTTCAGTTTGGGCATAGAAAGACTCACATTCTAAGAAATCCCTCCGTTCTAGGTAAACTGAGATGGTTTTTTCATGGTGATGCTGTGCTGTCCAGTAAGGTTGCCACTACATGCTTTGGGCTATTTAATTTGCAATCAATGAAAGAATAAAATTAAAATTTTGGTCCTTTAGTTGTGCTAGCCACATTTCAAGGACTGAATAATAACATGCAGCTGGTAACTACCATATTCGACCACACAGAAATAGAAGTTTCCATCACTGTAGACAGTTTTGTTGTATAGTGCTGAGCTTAGAGGGTATTTCCTGCAATTTCCTGGAACTATTGTAACGTTCTTTAAAACAGTACCCTAATCAAATGTTTAGCAAGCTCATGTGATGGTGCCGCCACCTCCATGAACACACAGATTGCTGGATCAGCAAAACCACAGTGAAAACTAGCTTTTCAGATTGTAGCAGGCTTCTGGGTCTATCCCTTTAATCTTCTTAGAGCCCAGGAATTTGTAAGCACTTGTTAGCATTCAGTAGAAATGAAAGCATAGGATAAGAAACACTGATCACAGTAAGAGAAAACAGTTCAGCTCCTTTTAAATTGTGTCCATTGAGCAGGAAGGGTACACTAATTTTGCTCTCATTTATAGCTTTTACTTTGATGTGCAGCATAGCCAACCAGGTAGTTGGATCTGAGTTAAAGCTGAGGGAGGACATGCATCAGGAAAGCCACTTCTGGAGTACGTGACCTGCAAGTCCAGACCACTGTATCCTGACCCCCAGCATCAGTCTGATGGAAGCCACCAAGTAGTCAGGACTCATGGGGAGAACAACACTCTGACAGTGTCCCTCTTCCCCAGGGGGCAAAGACAAATCAGAAACAGAAATGGAGCCAAACCAACTGTTGGAAGATTCATTGCTGGATGATCTAATTTAACATAGCAGTTTATTCAGCTCAGAAAATGACATGGGACACTCACTACGGTTTTTGCTCCTGAGTCATTTACTGATACTAGGGGGGGAAGTTTAACATGTATACTGATTTTAAAATGTAACATAAATTGTGATGATTCATGCAGATGGTTGTGGGGATGGTGGTGATGTTGATGATGGCAAATGCTGAGAACTAACATCTCCCGGGAGCTTTTCAAGCACAAGGAAATAAAGCTCTATGCTTTATGTAGAAAAGCACAAGGCAACACTTTGGGAATTAATACAGGTGTTGGCAGGATCCTCAGCCAAAAATATGACATTCTACTTTTTAAGATTTCCAAGAAATTTAGCATTTAAACAAAAGACAACCCCCTTAGAAGTTATTTGGCAAGCGCAGTGAGCATTGTATGTAATAGAATTTGTTTTATTTTTTAAAATAAACTTTTAATTTTAGAATAGTTTTAGGCTTATTGAATAGTCACAAAAATAGTACAGGCATCCCCATAAGATAATTCATTTTGAGTGAGATAACAGTGACTTCAAGCCCCAGTTCTGCCATTTATTCATTGTGCATCCTTGGACAGGTCATTTAACCACTCAAATCTACAGATATAATTTCCTCATGCACCAAGTGACACAGTAGTGTTTGCTTCAGGCTGTGGTAGGAAAGGAAAAAAGAGAGAGAGAGAGAGACAGAGACAGACAGAGACAGACAGAGAACATATCCAAAGTGCTTAGTAAATGCTCAGACCATGGAGATGCTTAATAATCATTAACATTTATTTTGATTTCTATTGATGATAGATTTCTTTTAACAAATCAATAAAAATCACACATTGCAATAATTTTAAATGGCTGCCATTTAATAGTGACTGGTTTATTTCTTCAAAGGACAAACTTTATTTTGTTCTGTGTTTCAGGGAGTTGAAGGAGCTCTCATCACCAAGCTTCCCTCAAGCCCCGTTTGCTCCAAGCTGAATGGACCCATTGCTTTATCTTATGTTGTCCATGGTCCTCTTCCTACCTAAAGAGATGAGGAAGATGGAGTGGACATGTCCATTGTCTTAGTCATTCAGGTTACTTTAGCAAAGCTGCCATAGACTGGGCGGCTTATAATTCCCCATTCCCCATTGTCTTGGGGACTGAGAATTCCAAGATCAAGTGGCCAGTCTTATTGGTTGGTGGTGAGGACTCCAGCTGGTTATGCCATGGGTTGGGGAGAGAGGGGACATAAGATTGAAAGCATCTCTTCTTACGGGAGCACTAATCCCATCTTGAGCACTCTCCTTCCTGTCTTTATTTCCTTCAAAAGGGCTTATTTCCAGACACCAGCAGACTTGGACAGATTTGAGGAGTGGGTCACAGACATTCAGTCTGGGAGTGCACATCCTAGGTGGGAAGCTGAAGGGCTCTGCTGATCTGTTCAAAGAGAGATCAATGAAGGGGCTTGTACAGCCATCACAGGAGCTCTAGGGACAGGTATTTGGCCTTTCTTATAGGTGGTTGGTGCACAGTACACAACACAGCTCCCCATTGACTCCCTGTGGGCTGCAGAGGAGGTGGAGAATGAGAGGAACCAGAATAGCAACCAGTTTTCAGAGCATTCTCTTTCCATTCCTTTCTGTGATCACCAAGATACTGAGGGCCGTTCCCCGCCTCAAACACGCAGGACTCTCCAAATCCCGCAACATTCCACGGGATCACTCAGTTCACACATCTTTTTCTTCGTCATTGTACAAGAATCACTGCTACTGCCTGGTGTCTTGAGAAGAATATGCTTCTACCTAGACAATAATTGGGCTACGCATACAAAATCAGTTTTCTGAGGATGGAAAACATGATAAATAATTGAGAACAGTGGAATTTCTCTATATTTCTGTTACCCAGAGGACAATTTTCAACTTAATATTTAGTCTTCGCCTAACAGACACAGACATGGTACTCAGCATTTTCTGTTTTCTCTCTGTCTCTCTATCTCTGTCTCTCTCTCTTTCTCTCTCTCTACCCCCCAAAACAATTCACAAAACCTCGGATTATAGGTCAGTTATAGTTGCTCCTTTCAATTCTTAAGAAACTCAGCAGGCGCTAGTGGGAAATTTGGGGTCATTATGGTCTTTATGGAAAGTCCCAGGTTGAAAGTGAAGTTTTTTTTTTTTTTCTTTCAGTTTGAAAGTCAATGTTGGCCTTAAGACAACTGTGAAATATGTTTGGAAATGGTCCTCACCAAACTTTTCTGGGAAGAATTCAGGCTGCTAACAATGCAAGATCTAGCGATAGAGTTAGCACCTCTGCCATGCTGTTGGCTAAAGACACCCTGGGAAAGTTGCTCCCTTCAGCACAGGTCCTAGGATGGGCACTCACAGAGACTTCATTCTGTTTAGGTGAGACTGTAATGACAAAATTCCTGCATGTCTTCCCATCCGTCAAACCTAATGCATTTTGAGTAATTACAACTTCAGTTGCCCTACCCACAGCACCCACAGTGCTGCCCCGTTCGATCTGCACAGCCACACTATGAGATGGGTGTTACTATTGGTCCAGTTTCCCAGTGGAGGAAATGGAGATGCATCAGGGCAACACACATGAGAATAACTGGACCCAGTCTTAGAAGTAGAGACCCCTGACTTTGAATCTTAACCAGGTGACTGTTTTGTAAAAATGATCAGGAACCAACATTGAACTGCAGGCCAACAGCCTCATCAAAATGAGAGGAAGCAATGTGAGAGACTAATTGTCCAGCAGTTTGCAAACATTTCCCCAGTCCTTCTTTCATAACGACATTGGCGGTAGACATCAGAGCCTCAAATGGGTGGTGGTGAGCAGAACCAGGACTTTCCTATCTGGTCAGTTGGCTCAGTGCGTTCTAGGCCCGGTATGTTGTCTCCTAGCTTCTGATCCAGTGCTCGCTTCGAGAGGACAGCCAGATTGATAGAAACATGGGGCTCACACTGATTCCACTAGAAAGCCAAAGATTGCATGAAAACATTTTTTGTTACCACAGTGGTGAGGAGGTTGTCTCTGGCAATGGGACCTTGAAATGGTGCTACTGAATGGTGCAGTAATTCCTGCCTCTCGAAATAGAAAAAGCAGTCAGCTCTCCACCACTTCAACCACACGGATTGGAAAGTAGCCTCGCTGGAACAGTCTTGGAGACATATACTTATGCTTTTGAACCTCAAGGAGTACGCAAAGAAATGGCAATACATCGTGGCAAAAGGTTTTGCCATCTTTCAAGAAACAGTATACAAGAGACTGGATACTAGAGTGAAGGGCCAGGAGACAGTGGCTCTAATGTGCTGATAATCTCATATTTCTGTTCCAAGAGATAATTTATAAAGCTCCTTAACAGGTCTCATTTCAAAAAAATCTACTTCAGTTGAAGTTAAGAAATAGAGGTTGACTTTATTTTATGTGATTTACCTGGGCACCAATAAAACAAATCAGAGTCACTTTAGTGGGCCAAAGAACCATGAACACTCTAGAAAATATTGGTGGAAAATGCTTAATAACCAGGTAATGTAAAATGACCCCAGATGACTATAATTAACATGGAATAGCACAGATCTTCCTGGCAGTCAGAAAATGCCCAAGAGGCCAACAGGTGTGACCTTCAGCACCAGCTACTGTGCAAACAAATGTTCTGCAAGGCTTCATTTCATTTTCATACTGTTGGAAGACGGCATTTTTAGTCACACGGTGGAGAATGATTAACCAAAACAATTCCTTTGAACCAAATAAGTGTGAACAGCTCTGCAATTTAAAACAAAACACAAAAAACTGACAACTTGGTTTAGTGTTTCTTTGTTGGTTCATTTTTATTTTTTAAATAAGGGGATTTTTCAGAGCATAACAAGCTTTTGCTTGTTTTCACGAAATATTACCCTATGGTTCCATGCAGAAAAGTAAAAGCTTTCAAAAGTTTATGTGATGTGATTAGCAATGTAGAAATAAAAAATAATTGACTACAAGTAAGAGGATGTATCTGATAATGATTTCTGGTAGCATACTTTGAAGCTGAATAGAAATGTATATATGTAAATTTAGAAAGCTTCCACTTTGAAATTTGAGAGCCGTAATTCCCTAGTAAAAGTCACTTGTTTGGCAAGGGATATTTTGATCTCTGAGCTAGGTGATACAGGAAATCATTTCCTGCTCACCTTAGCGGCCACTATCAGCACCCTCCCTAAAAGTGTGGGTGGAGAGGTGTAGAAAGAGGGAAGTAAAGACTTGTGCTCCTCCCAAGTGCCATGGTCCACGCAGCTCTGGAATTCCCCAGGGCGAGGACCGTGGAGGGGCAAGAAGGTGATGAAATGAAGAGGAGATTTGGAAAGCTCGGATCAGGTGGAGCCCTCTCTCTGGATGGGAGAAAAGAACTGCTCAGCCATAGCCGCATTTATTTACACATTTGGCAGATTAGTATCACATAACACCCCTTTGCCTGCCAACCTGCCTGCATGGCATCCTCGGGGCCCTAGGGTTCTCTGGACTGGAGCAGCTTGTTCCCATGGCTTGCCTCAGACGCTCTTTGTTCTCAGGACTGAATTGGCCTCGCTCTAGCCCTGCAGTCTGATCCATCTCCAGCTGCACCTGCTCCCAACATCTCCTCCTTTTCTGTTTTTGTAGTTGCAATCAATGGGTCTCCAAAAGAAGTTGGAGGAGTTGTGTTTGGAGGATTCTGCTGATGATTCTCTTTCTGGTGATTATATTTTTCTGCTGGATATTCAAGACCAAGTGAAAGTGAGACTTGTATTAATTAAAATTAATCTTTTGGAATTTATCAAGGAAAGCTAAGTCTCCTCAGGAATTACCTTGGAAGCATCTTAGTTCTTCTGTCAGAGTCGGCTGGCTGGTTGAGTCACAACCATCGCTTGACCAAGTTGCTTTCTACAAAAGCAGGGGAGATTTTTCTCTCCTGGCAACTCTCCTTAGGGACATTACATATTGTTGGTCACTTTTCTCTACAGTCCCACAATCTCCTTGGTCAGAAGACTGGGGACTCACTGAGTTACAGGATGTCACAGCAGAGTTTCTCTTATGTCCTGAGTCCTCAATGACCTCAAAGGGCTAGAGTTAAAACATTGGCTATACTCCTAGTTCATCTATTTTCTAAATTTTAGTCTCCAAACTTCAGTTATTGAACATCTAGAAGAAAAGACTGATACCATTACAGTGTAATAAAGACAGTAAGATTAATATTACCATTTTATTTGAATATCAAGCACCTTAGAGCATAAAATGGAACCATTTTTTCCTAACATCCATGGATGTTCTAGTATTTAAAGCCCTGTGGGATGTTAACAAACAGTTACATTTTTTACACAGAAAATTAGAAATCAAAACTATACATAATATTGTAGCATGACAATCATGATGACATTTTTGTAACATACCTGAATTTCTTTTTTGACATAAAATACTCCTTTAGTCAGTCACCTACACATAAGAAGGTTTTATCTAACTTTAGTGGGATGTACATCTCATAAGTTTTTGTTAAAGACAGAGGTCTGAATCTGAAAGAAAAGATTATTACCATAAAAAAATCTCTGTTTTACATTTTGGAACACCTGTGCATCTGGAGGCATGAATACATTTAATATACCAAGAGGTTAATAACTATTATCATAGCCATATGGAAATCTTTGTACCAGAGAATCTTTAAATCAAAACCTTAATCTTTTGATGAAGGCGCAATGCACACACATCACAATAATACACTCCAATAACTTTTACTGAGATGTCTCCCAGAAGGCTGTGGAGATCACTGGGGCTTCTTATTAATGAACAAAGACTGGAAAATATAGGCAGCTGCTTCCCCAGGCATCAGTCAAAGTCCTTCCTGTCCAATAGTCTCTTCATAGCCCAAGATTTTTGTTTAATTATCTTAATAATTTTGATGACTTATGAGAAACCAAATTTGATATTTTGATCAACTGCCAAAATATCTGAGCAGGTGGAAGAATGCTTTTTAAATTTATAACCCAAATTTTATTATGAGCAAATCATCCAAAAAGGACAAGAGAAAAAAAATTGAGCTGAAACAAAAAACAGACAGGACAAACAGACAAAGAAATATTTTTCACAGACAGGACAAACAGACAAAGAAATATTCACACAGCCTAGCTGATGGACAAACAGATGAACATCTTCCAAAATTCGAGTGCACTCAAAGATATTTTTGACCAAATTGAATTATAATAACTTTTTATCATTCTAGAAGTTTATAATTATAAATAGGCTAGTCAGAATTATTTATGGATCCTTTAATAGATATCTCTTGTAAGAAGAATTTGGAAGGAATAAAATCTTTTATATATGAGTAATATAAAATTTTTATACTTTATTTTGTCTTAAGAATATTAGTCACTTTCCTGTCCCTTTCTTTCACATAGCTTTCAGCTCAGTTATCCCTATAAACTCAGTCATCTACTTAGACATTTGATTCCTATTTTTGTTTACCTCTCCTGGGCATCCTGGGTCAGTCCCTTTAACTAGCCCCAGGTTGAGTCTAGCCCCATTCTTATCTGTAAGTTGTGGCATGGTCTCTGAAGCATCATTGTCATAGGACTGAGCATTAGCTTCTTGAGAGGTGGAATCAACTCCTTCTTTGGGTCTGGGTCCACGACACAGCAAGACAGTGTGCTCAGGCACCAACAGTGGCTGTTCAGCCTCCACCCCAGGTGAGTTGTGAGCTGAATCCCTTCCATTGTCCAGTTTCCCAAGAATCCTTACTTGCTTCTTTTGCTTTACCTGATTGAATTATCTTTCTGCTACTGTAGTTCCATCCCTAGTAGAATTTAAAAAGTTGACAGTATATACTGCCAAGTGAAGTGTATTATGAAGTGTGAGGTTTTTGTAGGGAAGAGTTTTCCCTTTTGTTTTTATAATTGGATTTTGAGTGTACAGTGAGCATGCTCAACAATTCCTTTATCTTGAGAGTTACAAGGAATTCCCATGGTAAGGGAAATGTGAAAGATTTACAGAATGCTTGCAAGGCAGCACTCATATAGAGTGGACCATTATTGGTCTTAAGTGCAGAAGAAAAAAAACCTGTAGTCTGTATTCAAGCATCTGGGGCTTCTGCTCGCTGTTCCCACCTCCAGCTGTAGCCCTTGCCTCACTGCTCCCTCTCTGGTACCCACTCTGGACAGTAACTGCCTCAGTGGTCATAGCTGCTTCATTTTTTGCCTAAACATTGTTGCAGTTCCCAAAGCCCAAGCTGAGTACAGTGCAACTGCCATCACACATACAGTTGACTAGCAGTTTAAAGGCTCAGCAGGGACCCAGTGAAGTTTGCTCCACAACATACAGGAGGAAGGGCCAGCTGGGCTCTCGTCCCTCTGCCCTCACAGCTGAAATTACTATCCTTGTTCTTTCCCTTTCCTCTAGGTTAAGAATGAATAACCTGAGTGATAGCTGCGGTCAAGGCAGCCCCTGTACATATGGGAGGCCAATATCTGCATTGATCCTAATCATCTCAGCATAGCCCATTTTGGGGGACTCTGAAAACCATTTATAGCATGTATTTACATTTTCAAAGGCCAATTATTGAACAACTCTGTGTTGCTTATAATTCTCTTACTAGTGTGCAATAAGCATGCTGCAAAATTGTGAAATTTTCATCAGGACTCTGACAAATGGAAGTCAAATTAAGGGATGTATCACCCTTTGAAGGAAGTTTCCTCTAAGCCCTGTGGCAGTTGTTTTAAATTGTTCATGTGCTTGCAATTCAAATGTAAGTTGATTAGTTGTGGCAGCAAAGGCATCTTCTGTGGTTAACATTTTGTTTGTAAGAGCTATGTTGTGAGTGGCATTGCGAATGGTTTGATATGCACACCATTCTTTTAAAAAAGAATTAAATTAAAAAAATTTTTTTAAAAAATTCTTTTCCTTAACAAATAATCCCCTGGATTTAAACATGCTTTAGTTTTTCCTTTCCAATCATTTGGGGCAAAAATCTGTTGCCCTAAGAGTGTTACTAAACCCAAAGTAAAAAGAGCTGTGTGGTCCTAGTTAGCAGTACCTCATCTCAACTCTTCTAAGGACATAAAGAATACAGCTTCCTGAAGATATGTAACTTGTTCTGGGTTATTCGGGAGTTGAAGTTCAGTAATAGAGTAGACATGTTGAAAAGCCTCCATGAACTCCCCCACCTGTCTGGCTTCTTTTAGCACCAATTGCAAGGGAGAGAGAAAAAAATGGCTCCACTCCTGAGGTGGAAATTCCAACCTGTGCAAAATTTCTCTAAACTGAAATGGCGGGAGCTGTCACTTGTGACTCAGTTAAAGTTATTGGATGTTGTGAAATGGAATTCATCAAAAAGCACTCCTTTAGTGGGGTAGAGTCCTTTTTGTCCTCCATAACTCCTTCCTTATCTAACTGAGCAAAGTTAGAGGGTTTAAGCTCTATCAGGGTGGCTTTTGTTCCATCTTTTTCCTGCTTAGGACTTATTTTAAAATAGTGCTCCAAGTTAAATCCTTTGTGGTCATCTCAACAGGCTTATAACCATTAAGACACTTTCTAATCCAAATCCACAAAAAGAAAATATAGGAATCAAGAATACAACAAGCATTTGTGTATCAATCTGTGATTCTTGAGAATCTGTGTGCCCCATGTTTTAACCTGATAGGGTCTCAGTATTGATATTAATGGGTGCAAGATTGAGGATATCAGTACACTTCTGTGCTCAATATTGGTAACATTGATGGGCTCAATACTGAGGATATCAATATATCTCCCACCCTTTTGTGTGTGCACTAGAGGTGCCCTTCTCATCTGCTAAATGACAAGTTTCCTCATGCCCTGAGTCCCTGTTCAAGTGCCATTCTTCTGCAGCCTGTGTGGCTCTCAGCCTTCCCAGAATGAGGCCCATGAAGATGAAGAAATCAAGATGAGACCCAGAAAGCTGGGATCAGGGGGAGCCCTCTCTCCAAATGAGAGGAAAAGAGCCGCTCAGCTACCACAGCTTGGTTATTTCTACATTCAGCAGATTAATGTCACATGACACCCCTTAGCCTCCCAACCTGCCTGAATGGCATGCTAATGGCTTGGTTTTTCTGGACTGGAGCAGCCCATTCACATGACTCACCTTAGGCACTGTTTGTTCTCAGGACTGGACCAGCCTTTCTCTAGCTCCATGTGTGTGGATCAGTCTCCAGCTTCAGCCACTCCCAACACCCAGGGACAAGAGTTGTACAAGAAAATGCAAGATGGGATCCTAAAGTTATGTAAGCTTTGGAGAAGAATTCTTTATTTCTCCTCACAGAATCATGCTCTGTTCTATATTGTGGTTACTTCTGGTTTCTCAAGAGCAATGGTCCTCTCCTAGGGGTGATTTGTTCCCCAGGGAGCTTTCATCGGTGTCTGGGACATTTTTATTTGTCACACCCAGAGCCCAACTAGCACTAGATAAACTAAGGAGCACAGAAAACAGACTCAAAAAATTTTAAATTATCACTGAGTGGGGTAGCACCTGCCTATAATCCTAACACTCAGGAGGTTGAGTCAAAAGAATTACTGCAAGTTTGAGGCCAGCCTACGCTATAAAGTGAATTCAAGCCTGAACTGTGTAAGAAAAGCCTGTCCCAAAAAAGGCTAAATCAATAAATTAATTTAATTAGAATTCAATTGTCATCAAACAATGACCTCCAAAATGTAGGCCAGGATCCCAATGTCAAACCTATGCAGAGCAACTGAGTGCTATAATATAAAGTATAAAGGGGACTCTGATGTCCTAAGACAGCAGCCTAAATAGCCACAGTGTACCAAAAAATAGTAGTTACAGCTAGA